AAAGCAACTTGGGACCACACTGAACTATCATTATGACCATGACTCTAACTAAAAGTGTGACAGAACATTAGTGAGGAAGTAGAGAAAGCAGGACTTTAGTCTGTTGATAGGAAAGTGGAAAATGCTGTAACAAATCAAATACTGAGTTGTCTAGCCAATCCCATCCTAGCCATGTATGTGACAGAAATGAAAACATAGGTCTATACAAAATTTGTATTTGCACAGCAACATAACAGCTAGAAAATTAAAATAGCCTGCCAATCAATTCGTGAATGGATAGCCACCATGTGGTATGTCTATATAATGGAAACCATTTCTCACCTCTAAAAAGAATGACCTCCAGGTTTCCGCCCCGCCCCCAACCATGTTGGTACACACTACAACAAAGACAAACCTTGAGGACATTATTTTAAGTGAAAGAAGTCACCTGTAAAAGAATACAGAGGGCATTTTTTATATAAAAGTATCCATAATATATCATTCCATATAGAAAGAAAGTAGGTTAATTACTGGCTGTGGCTATGGAGGTTGGGTTGGTGATAGGCGAAGCATGGAGTTTCGATTTACAATGATAAAAGTGTTCTAAAATTGATCATGGTGATGTCTGTATAGTTCTTGACATGTGATTATGTCACATCAAGGTGTTTAAAAGCCATCTTCCTGAAAAAAAATTTATTTCACACATTCATTTTCTAGAAAATGACAGAAAATTTTCTGTTCTGAGGGTGGGCTTGGCTGGCTATCACATCCAGATATGGCATTTCTAAGTTTCTTTTGTGACTTTGATGGATGTGACAGATGTCCTGTCTTTGGAAATGGTTTAGAATATTCATGTGTGTGTCCATTCCCTGGCCCACTAGGAGGGTACTTTTTAATAGGGAGGTTTAAATCTTCCAGATACAATTTGTCTTTGGAATACAGTGGTCAGTATATGAGCTTAGTGTAGCTAAACATGGCATCCCTCCAAAGCCAATGTGCATCATGATCAGTTTTAGTACATGTTCTAGAATCCAGTGTGCAGTAGTTCCCAGGGTACATAGAGCAGTTGTTTAGTGTCTTAGTTCTGAAGACATGATATTTTTATTAGTGCTGACACTGCTTTGTTTTCTCCAGATAAACACACACACACACACACACACACACACACACGCACGCACGCACGCACGCACGCACACACACACACACGCACGCACGCACATGCACACACACACGCACATGTATATATACACACAATTTCTAATTAGACAACTCTGCTCATATTCTTCCTTTATCATATTATATAGCTCTTATCCATTAAAATTACATATCCATTAAAATAAAAAAATTATTTATTTGTGTGTGTGTGTGTGCATGCGTGTGGGCACACATGTGCCCTTGTGCAGGCTACAAGAGAATTTGGGGATAGTTGGATCTCTCTTTCTACAGTGTGGTCCCCAGGGATCAAACTCAGGTTTTTGGAACTGACTGGTAGTGCCTTTACCAACTGATACATCTCACTGGCACTTCTTACCAATTTTGAGTCCATTTAATGAACATGAAGATAAAGAAAGGAAAGAAAAATACAGGGATATATAGATAAATAGATGTTAACTTATAGTTTAGGGGAAAATGATGAAATTAGATGAGCAGAGTTAAATTTGAGAAATCATGCTCCCCTGGTTACCAACACATTGAACGTTTTAGTCTTGCTTTGGAAGCTATTTTGAACTAATAGGTATTTTCTGCTGGAAAAAAAACTAGGCAAGGAATCCAGATTTCAAAGTCCATTTAATTCATATGCTTATGAGTAATGAAATGACAAACCCTATTCAAAATAATTTATTTTAAAATATATCCCTTCAACAGATTCCTGTTAAGCAGCTACTCAGTACTGGTTATAGTAGTGAATGCTTTCCATGTTAGCTTTGAGGGGTTCAGATTCCCCACTACAGTAATATGGTGCTAATTAATCACTGCCTTCACTTAGTTGATATTTGTTGAACATTTATTGGGAGCTAGACACTATGCCCACCACACCAGAGGATGTAGGGAGATGGACCCTGCTACCACATTTAAGGAGCTGTCCATCTGCAGAGTTTGCAGGTACAAATGCAGGGTTGAACTTCTCTTACTTTGGTGAGTGTAGGGTGCAGGAGAAGGAAGTCTGAGACTGAGAGAGAGCCCCAACTCAGGCTTACTTTGCACAGGAGAGCAGGGAACAGATCTGGTACAAGGCGAAGTGTGAAGCATTTGGCAGACCGAGGTTCAAGTTGGGGATGGGTATGTGGGAGTAGAGGTCTTTGTAGGTATGGAGATAAGGAAGGAAAATGCACCACACAGGAGGAAGCAGAATTGGGCAGGGTGGCGGTGTGGAGGGAGCAGGCACTGAAAGCAGGTGGTAAAGTATTAGTTCTGAGCTCTGGAAGGAAGGGTGGGGAATCCACACTGCCAGTCAGCATGGAGCTAACGTCCTGGTTGCCGAGAGAAAAATGCTCAGAGCAGGCCCATGAGAAGCACCACGCCAAGGAAATGACCTGACTGTAGAGGCTGTCAAGATGAGTGGAGAGGAAAGAGGAAGGATGTGAGATTGTGCTGCTGTAGAAGACAAAGGAAGGATGCCATCAGTGCATCCTGCTCCTCCGTGGATGGGATGCTGGGACTGAAAAGCACCAATTTGAATTTCAGAGGGGAGGCACAAGCTGTTGAATTTTTTAGGCACTTTTGCTCTTCATGACCGAGTCAAGTCTCAGATGCCCCGTGTTCTTGGTACCCACATGATAGGAGTTTGAGGCTCTGGAAGTTTTCATCCTTTCAGCTTAGTTATGGCAGGCGTCTTGTTCAAAGCCCTCTCTTATTTTCTAGTGTTTTCCTTGTTAAACTTACTTGTGAACTCTGCTGTTCCCAGATCCTAGAACTATGTATGGTCCCACACATTTGCTTTCTGAGACTTTAAAATGAATTTTAGCATACCCATGTCTCCTGAATCTCAAAATTTTGTAAATTCACTGAAAAGTCAGAGGAGAAAAACTACATGATTTTATTAAATAGCAACAGGTGGATCTGGGTGTCTCTTCTGGAAACAAACACATAGCTTTTGTTTGGAATTGGTACTTCCAGTACTGTCTTTAATAAAATTATTCAAAAACTCATTCGGTGTTTCAAAACCCCAAATATCTAAAGTGGGAGTGTTCACCACAAGGTCAAGGATGACTTTGCTGGACATGAGGTTATTTAGAAGCTCACTTACCTCTTGGTGTAGATACTCATTACTAATGTGTTTGTAATAAAAGTCTTGCCCTGGACTCTTCTGAGGTACTAAGTAATATATACTCTTAGTACCACAGCGTCCTTAAAAATGCAGAACTGAAGATACTGCCAATCCAAAAATCATATGTTACCCTAAGGTTTCCAGCAATGAGCTTGGCGATATTGAAGACCATGATTCATCAGAACTGTTTCTGATGTCAGAAGAGAGCTATCCCTGGCTATCTTTTTTTTAGGTCCATCCCCCAGCTCCCTAAACCCCTCAGCATCATAGACAGGAGAAGTGATATATTGCAATTGCTTGTTGAGGGCACGGGTCTGATAGTGTTCACCATTCCATGTTGAATGTCACTCATGTCATAGGCTCAATGTCAAGCAAATGGACTTTTAGTCAGTGAATTGGCCTCCATTCTCTACTTTTTCTATCATGCTTTCAGGCTTGGTTAAAGCACTGCTGTTATTGGGACTTGAGCAGATTTTTTTTCAGGTTCCAAGTATTGCCAAGAGTTTGATTTATTGGCCTCTCTAATCATCGTATTGTGCTATTTACAGTGCTCTTTACAGACTCTGAGGCCACAATTGGTTCCTCAGGACAGAGCACTATAGCCAGTTGGCATCTTCTGCTTTTGATGGAAGGGAAGAGTTATAGTGGTCTTGTCCTAGGATGCTCTTTTTCCTAGCTACAAAAGGACTCTCTGGGCCTCATCTTGATTTCTATTTGTTTCATTTATTTTCATTTTGAGCTCTGGCCCACTGTCTGACCTTTGTCATCCCCTGGATCCTAAGGACTGGAACACTTGGCATTTGTACTTTATGTTCACTGAAGAGAACAGAGAGACGGAGGAACTCACAAAGAACTGACAAGTTGCTTAATTTTCCTGGGCCACAGCAGCTTTGTTGGTTGAGTTGAGGCTTTAACAGTTACCTCTGAGGATATTATGTTTTAAATGGGCTATTATATGCTACATGATGAGCATGTTCACCCCTCTATATCTCCAGATTTAACCTACTTGGATCATTTGAAAAACATGTCTGTATTGAATGAACTCATTGTAGTTTTTAGCTGTGTTTCCTTGAAAGCCCATGACACTTAGGTGACCAATTACACTGAGTAATTTTCTTCTTATTCCTTGGCCATTTGTATCTCTTCTTCTGAGAATTACCTATTCAGATCATTTGCCAGTTTTTAGTTAGATCACTTTTTGACTAATTTTTTTTTGCATTCCTTATATATTTAAGGAATTTGATGTGCTTTGGTATATTTTTCATGATTTTTCTTGGTTTGAGATCATGCTGAGCTTCTTAAATTAGTGGGTTTATGATTTTTAATCAAATATGGAAAAATTGAAGGTATCTTTTCAGATACTTCTTTTAGCTTCTCCCTTACCACATATGTGTTATACTGGCTAATACCCCACTGCTCACTGCTGCTCTCTTCATGTTTTCTACAATGACCATTTCTCTGGGTATTATTTTAAATAGTTGTAGCTAGAGTTTTCCACCTTGCCCACAGTCAGGACAAATCTTTGTCACCCGCCAGTCCCACAGCCGCTCAGACCCAACCAAGTAAACCAGACCTTCCTACCTCAATTAATGCAATCAAGATG